AGAGAGTCCAAGATTAAAATCAGAAAAAAAACCAAACAAATGAAAAAAAGAGGTGAAGTGCAAAGCCAGAGAAAAGCAAATTGACCAATCTAAAGACAAAGGGACTTAAAAAAAAAAGTACAAGGGGATAAACCAGATTAGAAGAGAGGATGAATCAAAGAGGTGTAAAAGAATAGTAAAGCTATCAAGTACAAAGAAATCATAATTTAGTGGTTAAAGTACTAGCCTAGGACTTTAAAGACTTGGTTTTAATTCCCTGTTCAGGCTTCCTAACTTTCTGAACAAGCTACCTAACCTCTCATGGCCTCAGGTCCTACTCATGTAACTATTCTTGTGTGAAGCAACTTGCTGTGACAGGAGACATGCATTCAGATGTGCATAAAAAATAAAGAAAGTGGGAGTTGAAATCTAGTTCATCAAGACCTATACACTTTTTTTTTCCTTCATAGCTACAGAGGTTGCTCATTCCAGCTGAAAGAGGCCACTAAAGAGACAAGCTAAACCACTAGAATATGAGATCAATAATAGATGTCTTATCTCAAAACATGCATAAGTCAGGCAAAGCCTGTGCGTTCCCGTACTGTACATCACGTATAAGCATCTTATGCACAATTAACTACATAAAAGATGTTTAAGATGTACATAAATGTAAATTTTAATTATCATTTAAGCATAGTATGAAAAAGTTATCTTGGATATAGCTTCTATCGTATTGGTATTTTAATATGAAATACTAACGCATTTTTACAAAAAGGTTTTCCTAAGCAAGAATGTGCAAACATACCATATCTGCAAGATAAATCAGCTAAAGAAAATATAAAGAACAAAAATACAGAAAGGAAAAGAACTGCACTACATTCTGCTACTTTGGGGCTAGGATGTGGTTCAACAAAGTTTAAGCTAAATAGCACCAAACTGCAACATCACTAGAATAAAATCAGATCTGGCTCCTATAGTACAAATTCCATGTTAAAGCAAGGAATCATCTGAATCAAAACGACATAACAGCAGGTAATTAATTCTTGATAAAACATCTAAGTTCTTTCAGTAGTATAACCCAGTGGGTGAAAATACATCGCAAACTCAATTTTAAGAGATTCATTTAGTGGCTCTGTTACAATCTTGGCTTAACTACACAAGTCCAACCACATGTATTGCAACACTACATCCCCCTTTCCGACTGGTGTCAGCTGTCCCTTTTCAGGAGTTGCCACCCCCTATGTAAGCCTGTTACTGCTTCATTCTTTCCTACCGACGTCAGAAGGAGGGCTGAGGAATGCTTTTGACTAGGAGTTGTTGATTTTTGGGCTAAATATCTCCTTGTTCCTCAAACTTTACTCACCGGGGAATGATTGCTGCTGTTTGGGTATGGATCTTCCCTCCAGGCCTCTGCGGTTCATTCTCATTAAGGAGAACTTAACATTTCCTCAGCAGCTCTGGAGCTCTCTGGAGTTGTCAGTGCAACAAGACACACAATAACATTAGGTAAGCAAGGATTCAACTGAATCTCTACCTACATCCACGTTCCCACATGTGTTGCAATTTTGGTCACTGAAGTTGCCCAGTACTGTGATATGATAGGACTGAAACAGCAGCCAAATCTAGTTGGGCACCTAATGTCCACATTTAAATATTCTCCCTTTTACTAGCTGGCATGGGAAAGATTTCAACCCACCCTCGCCTCCTTTTGCCACATCTACACAACATCTTCCTGCTCAATAAGAGAGGAACAACACCCACAAGACCACCTTTTCTCACGTCAGGCTACAGAGCCTACTGAAGAAGATTCCCCTGGCTTCCTCACTGTAGCTGGGATCTGCTGCACCCTCAGCTTTCTCCAGGGCAGTCAGTAATGCAGGAGACCCCTTCTCATCAGCGTGGGACCCCAGCTTCTAAATTAAATATGTGAAAAGCATCAGCTGTTCAAAGCTTTAGCAGGACTAGGACCATTAAGCACTTCATTCCGCACTGAAACCACAGGAAGTTTTCTAAAAGCTACAGAGAAACAACTAAGAGTTACGCATACGAACATTGAACAAGGCAACAAAAGTAAAATAAAGTGCACTGTAAAAAAAATCCATTTTAGAATTTTAAAAGCAGTTTGCACATTGGCACTGAGCGTGGCATTTTGGGAAGCAACTACAGAGAAGCTCCTGAACCCACCTCAGATGAAGGATTACTTGGAAAAGCATGTTTGGCCCACACCAATGAGAGGATGGGTCCTCAGTTGCTCTGTTTGAAACAGTCAGAGATGTCCAATAGGGCAGCTGCATGTTTACTTTACAGATACAGGCTTTCTTCATCTGGGGAAGGTTTCTGGACTAGCCCAAGGAATGAATTAATCTGATGGATTGGTTTAAACACGTGTAGAAATCTCTCTCACAGGGGAATAAACATGCTTTTTTTTTTTACCTTATACAATTTGGGAAAATGTTTAAGCTAACCAAAAAAAGCCACTGATCAATGAAAAAAAAGTCTCCACATGGGGCTTAGAGGACAAATAGTAAAAGCTTTTCCCTATAGACAAGGCCACAGCTATTTCCTCAGCTAAGAGCTCGGAATTTGGCCCTTGAACTTAACCACTGCCCATGTTTGTTTAGGCACAAGTGGTCTCTCGTGGCCTCCGTTTGCTCCCACTGATGACAAACCCCACCTTCACTAAAGAGGAAGTGAGGTTGGATTTATAGACAACATTAAAGGCCACCAAGACTTTCAGAAGTCTCATTAGATCATCCAAGAGTTTTGAGTCACAAACCAGTTCTGCATACCAAGAGCTGTAATGCTTTCTGCCTTGCCAGTTGGCCTGAAATACAAACAGGCAGGACATTTTTGTAAAGTAAGTTAAATACATTTTTCTCCAGAAGATTTCTCTTGAATCTGGTACTATTTTCCTTTTAAAATCTAAAAGACTGTTATACCAGATTGTGCTGTTCAACTTTGAAGGACTAAACGAGCATCCTTTCAGCAGTTAAATGTTTTTACATATGAAAGGTATATACATCATCTTTGAGAGAATATTCATTCTGTGATACCTGAAGAAGAAAAAAAGACTAGCAAGCAAAACGTTTTTGTTTACATCTTGTGTGTTACTGCTGATGTGAATTGCTGGCCCATTAACCATACTATTAATTGCAACAAGTATGATTTAATCACATTTTGTGAAAGCAAGCAGCAGAACGCCTCTTTTCCTCACAGTATCACTAGCAATAAATGCCATCCCAAGGCAAGCAAAAAGTCTAAAAAAACCCAGATACATTTCATAATTGTCTTCAAAACATGAGCAGACCTGTAAAATAGAAGCTTTCTAAGCATCAGAAGGAACATTACTACATCTTCAGTTTACACTGATAGCCTATGCTATTTAAGGAACACCTGAAAATGTGGTTATTCTAATTTATACCTTTCCTTCTGCCCAGTATGAGCTATTTTTTGCTGTACCAAAGGGAAGAATACTTGAAATGTGATTTGTTAAAATAATTTAATAAAAAAAGTAAGTATTTTTGCTTTAAATACATGGGGAAGCTTAGAGGGGGTCCTTCAAGATGAAAAAGTCAATTAAAATACTTCAAACAGATCTTAAAACATGTCTCATTGAGCTCTGAAGGAATTTTCATAACCATTTAAAAAGATTACCACAAGTTACAGTAGCTATGTTTTAGATAAGTTTAGCTTGCAGTGCAGTGTTTAATATAAAAATATATTCTATTTAATAAATTTGTATATAATACATTATAAAAAATTATGAAAGTGTTATTACACAGGTAAACAAAAGTCTGCAATAATATTTCGAGTAGCTTTATAAAATTTCTTTACAGAACATTCAAATTGTATAACATTGATCATGAAATGTACACAGTAGAACAGGTTCTTCCCCAATCCTCACACTTTTATTTAAATAAATCAAGTTATCTTTTTTTTTTTTCCTTCAAATGAGGAATTGCTGGTATCGCTTCAAGTTATGAAGTGGGCAATCAAAACCATTATCTTGCTGAAGAGACTGGGGATCCCATATTTTTTTCCAAGCATTTGTTGCAGCATTTTCCTCCATTTGAATCTGGCGATACATTGAGTCGTGCGACAGCAGAATTTGATTTGTCAGAGTTGAGGAATGAAGTATGCTCTTGGCTTGTTAAAAGGTGGCCTCTACTGTAAACTTCAGTGCTGCTTTTAATCTTGCCATGGCCATTAGAAATGTCTCTCCAAGAAGTAACGTTTTCATCTGCAGGGGAAAATGACCTGATGTGAGGAAACTCTTCACAGCATGCAGCCTGTGCTTGGACATTAGTACGGGCTTTTTGTTCAGGATACGAGAGAGGCACATCACCACGATCTAGACACAGGCTTCCACTCACAGAACTCCATTCACTGCAACTTCCTCCATCCCTTTCTGGAGTTTCTTGAAAATCAAATTCCAGAGTTCTTTTAGATTTAGTTTTCCATTTTCCACATGACTGGATACATTTATCCTCTTTCAAGACTGTTCTTTCATTTTTGCTCTTAAGTGTATGATGAGTTGGTCCAGAGATGTTACGGCCATTTGTAAAGCTGGATGCATGTGTATCTTCTAATGGTGCTTGAAAAGCAGATGGAAGAGCATTCTGATGTGCTATATTACTAGCAGCACACAAGAGTCCTTTCTCTAAATTTACAATGGGGTCACATTTTTCTCGCCTTCTATCTTCACTTGCAAACTCCAACAGAACATCTCTTGAAGTACCTTCCAGATTTTTAGAATTATTCCCCTTCTGAATATTTGAAGTCATCGTTTCATGAAAGATATGTTGAGTTTCAGTCTGCATTTCATCAAACTGCTGTCTCAAGTCATGTGGTACATGTTTCTGAACAACTCGATCATTGGCTTTTTGGGTAATGCTTTCACCATATGATTTACTTTCCATATGGTTTGATCTAGTCTGAAGCATGCAATTTCTTTTTGAGCATTCACTTCCAGATGGTAGATCAGAATTTAATCGCAGAGCTAGAAGAGGAGGGAAAGAAATACATTAATTTAAGAAAATGTTAATGCTGGAAGAAAAACTAGGTTCTTTTGTTTGGTTGCTTTTGTTGGTTTTGGTGGTGGGTTTTTCTTAATAAAGAATTGTAAGCTGCTTATTTTGACAATGCTTTATTTACATTTCCATTAGCAAGCTAATAAATAAATAGTACTTCACTTTCCATCTGCATTTTCATTACTAAATGTATTAAATCAATATGATGACAAAGAGAACAACTACAGAATCCAACATACCTGACCGAGTAGATTTGCTTTGGGGAATATGTCGAAGAGGTGTTTCGAGTCCTTTAGCCATTGTAGCAAGCTTACTGGCAGCATTCATTATTTTATTTTCAGCTCTGCCAAGAATTGCAGAACATTAAAAAAAGAATAAATTAAAGCTTAAAGGTAGTTCCTTTTCAACTCTGCATTTTACTCCAAGGTCTTGTTATTGAGAGTCAAAGAATACTGAAAAGACGGTATGCCAGACTGCTCAGCAGTGACCCCACGTCAATCTGAGCAGACTGGCAAAACTTCAGGTCAGACACGTTTGCTCCAAGTTGGACAACATCGGACTAACACCTACACACCTCTTTGAAAACCAACAGTAATTTCCAAACATACTTGAACTTACCCTTCATGTTTCCCATTATCAGTAAGAAGCTGTTGAAGGCATGTCAAATAGTATTTGCGCATTCTGCGTGTTGTTTCTTGGCGTTCTCTTAAAACCTCCGCTTTAATCATTTCAGCAGCTCGCTCCTTACTTTCACGGATATAACAAAGCATATCACCTACAAACACACTTCATTAGTATCAGTTTTCCCCTAGAGGAGGGGAAAAAAGCCAACACCACAAACTGAGATCATCTAGCAGACCTAGAGCAAGTCAATAAGTGCCTGGATTTACCTGCCAACATTCCACCCAAATACTTGTGCCAAGCGTTGCCTACTGAATGAATGCCACCGAAAAGCAGGGCAGGTCAATACAAAGCATCAGTCAGGAATTCAGTATCTTCGGCAGCAATAGAAAACATAGGCACAGGGATCTGGGAGGAATGTTGGCTGGTAACATGCAGGTTGAGGAATTCTTTGATGCCAGTGCAGCTGGTGTTCAGGGATCTGCTGCACTCAAGTAAGACCTGGTGCTACACTTAAACCCCTCTCCTCAGCCAGAAGGCAGGATACAGCACAAGGGAAAAGCAGATTCTCCCTCAGGACAAGTTGCAAGGTAGGTGGATTGTTGCTGGAGAAACAAGATCAGTTCTCAAAACACACTTCAGCACCTTAAAAGACATAGTACAGTGCAACAAAGCAAGGATGGCATAACAAGGCTTCATCCATTGCAATTAGTCTTGTCTAAGATTATGGTGACGATTCACCATTTTTCCTTCTTACATTCACTCTAGTATGAAGGAAAAATTTACTTCTAGTAAGAAGTAAAAAAAATTTCCTTCTAGTAAGAAGGAAAAATTTACTTCTCACATGATTTGGCTGTCAGATTCCTGTGCAAGTTGGCTGAAGGAAGAGGAAGTAACAAAGTAAATTATTTTGCTCTCCTAACATTTTAGCTGAGACTTTAATACTTACACTTAATCTTGCTCACAGCTTTAATGTACTGAGCACGCATTTCTTCCAGCCCTTTCACAGAATCACAGGATGTACAAGGTTTTGAGACATCTCCCTTTGACAGTGACCTGAAACGCACAGAAGTCACACTGCACAAGAAAAGCAACTTACATCTTACTAAAAAAAAGTTTAAAAAATCAGCTTGTTTAAATTTTTTAAATACCTTGATGGTGTTTCCAAGTCTTTCAGTTTAGTCTTCATCTCAGAGTTTTCTGCAATTAGAGCTTCTAGAACCTTCTCATTTTCTATTTAAAAAAAAAAGAACCATAATTCACTGCAATTCTCTAAATTCAAGTTGAGTTCAAGAGAAGTTATACCAGAAACAGCAGGTTACGTAATAAGATCTCAATGTCACAAAGCATCATCAGCAAGTGTACAGCTGTTGCAGTAACAAGCACACAGGAATTGATCATGATACACTTCAGTGAAGCCTGAATATAAAAGGCATCTTGTACAGTAATTAAATAAGCTTAAAGCCTTCACATGCCATTACTAACACTATGCTGGAGGCAAAACTTCAGAGATATCAGGTGTAGATGTAGAGAAAGAATGGGAGTGGAAAAAAAACAAAACAAAATACCAATAATGAGGGTTCTTTTGACAAATGTTGGAAAAGAATTATTAATTTGTGAATTAGCAATTGTGCCTTCTTTGGCATAGAGAGACAAAAGATAAAACTTGGTTGTGGTTTTTTGGTTTTGGGGTGGTTTTTTTTAATAAGCAAAAGCCAGTATTACAGCAAAAGGCTAGACTTCCATGCTGAACTCTGCTCAAGGCTACTAAGAAGCATATAAATATTATAGTGAGCCACCACAGAGAATGAGAAGACAGTGGAACTAAAAAGCCCAACACAAAGGACTTCAAGCTGATACTGAAGACTGTTGATCATGGCATACAGGTAGTCCACTCGTGGGTCATCTCCTCAAAAATTAAAGAACCTTAAAACCTATTTATAAGCTATGTAATCTAACCTAAACAATCAATTACTTTAAAAAAGGGTACAGGTATTTACCATAACCTGAAGAACTGACGGATTAAACTTGGATAGACCCATAAAAATCAACAGTTGATTACTAGCTTTCCTATTTTAGGAAAGAAAACCAACATGAATTGAACACCTACACTCAATGCTTGAGATACCTCCATTGCATCCAGCCACGGAAGTTCTCACATGAGACATGGCCTAAGGAAAACAAAGGCTATCACCACACAACAGAAGGCATGTCTTATTAAAGACAAGCCTTCCTTCTGGAAGAATCAAGGCTTTCATGTGTAGAATATGAGTATTTTGAAGAGGTCTGTTTGTGTGGTTTTTGGTGTGGGGCTTGGTTTGTTTTAAGTATGCACATACACCCGTTCCATCCTCTGAAAACTAAATGGTGCAACAGATGAAAAAGGCTCATGCAGCCAGCAAGGCAGAGCCATTCAAAGTTTTCTTTAGGTGACTAACAATCCTAACCTTGGATTTGCTCTGACTTAGCTTCATGTTTCCTCACAGCAAGCTGAAGATGTTTGTGGGCTATCTCCAGCTCTCTTTTCAAGTCTTGGCACACAGTCTCTCTTTTTTCAAGCTCCTGGCAGCAGTGTTCACAGCAAAAATCTTCCTGAGACCCAAGGTTCCTTTTTGTACATTTCTGATCTGCAACAGTCATTGTTAAAAGTTATACAACAACCATGAGACCAAAAAAAAAGAATCAAGCCCAACTTTACTATTTCCAGTGCTCTACTTAGTCTTTCTCTTGCTAGGAAAGCATACGGCATATTTAATTAGCCTAATTAAAATAATCACAAGAGGCTGGAACTCTGATAGAAGGTGCAGCAGCATCTATCAATTTTTTGAGCCCTGATAGCCTCAATGCACTCCCATCAGTGATGATGTGAGTCCTCAGTCAGCAATATGAGACTTGTGGGTTGATTTTAAAAAAAAAAAAAAAAAAAAAACAAAAAAAAAAAACTAACCCCAAAACACAACCAACAAAAAAAAAAAAAACCCACACAAGAGCCAAGCAGAGTCTTTTGGAGTTAGCTGGAGGAGACTCTCCCAGCTGGGAAGCTTCACATGCGGCTGAGTCTAGTTAAGTTAAGAAATTCACAAAGACTGGGCTACTTCCAGGAGAGCAACAGCCGCTCTCTATAGCCAGGACAGGGAGCTCTAGAGACAGAAGAGCTGTGCTGCTTGTATTGTTTTGTGTTAATAGATGGTTTGTTATTTTGGTGTTGAAGGAATTCAAGCCACACTATAGGCATAAAGCCAAAGACTCTCTTGGGTTTGCTTGCTTTATGGTTTTTGGTTGCATAAGAACTCAAACTAAACAGAAAGCCCTAGAGAGATTTCTGTGCCTCCCATGAAGTTTTTCCCCAGCTACACTGTCTCTAGCTTTGCCATAGTACATGTGACAGCTTTGGGAAAAGCTACAATGCTGAAGTATGTACTGAGGGCAGGAGGAGGTGGAGGGGGGAAGGAAGGGGAAAAAAAAAAGAAGAGAAACATCACCTAGAGATTTTTCATTTTTTCAGAATTGGAAAAAACTACCATGCCAGGTGAAGTATAATTCCTGACACAACAGTATCTTTTACATGAGTGCAGAATTCCTTGTCTTGTCTGATGTCAAAAGCAAGTAGTGTAATTCGATCTTCTAAGCTCTGATTTAGTATTACCAATTTACAAGACAGTTTAGACCATATCCTGCTCATTGTGATCAACACTGACTTTCTAAGGAGCTATTGTACACCAGAGATATTAGTGTTTATGTCCACAACCACCACAGAGTATTTACACTCACAGCAGATACTGAAGTTATTTCTTTACTCCTGAAGAATGGCTTTAAAAAGCAGAAAGCTACTAGCATTTAATAAAATTAAGCCTCAAAGCCTAGCATTAAATCAGTAAGCTGGAGACCAGTGCCATTTGCTGCACGGTTTGTGACTAACACAGTACAAGCTTACACAATGTTAAACAACCTTACAGTCAGAACTGCATCCTCCTCTATCACCCAAATATTCACTAATTAACTAACTTTGCATTAGAGTCATCAATAAGACATTGACTATTCAAGACTGCTACTAACAAGCTTAATTTAATGATACACAATTTGCCAGATTAAAAACAAACCCAGTACCTTTGTTTGTTCCACTTTCCTTCAAGGATGGCTGTCTTCTTGGCCTCCTTTGTGCTTCTGCTTGGTGTCCAGCATTGTACACAGGAGGTCTTGCCACATTCCCAGTTTCTCCTTCACCACACTGCAGGCAAGAGTATGCTTCTTTATTTACATTACTCACTAGCTCTTCATATTTCTGCAATCGAAAAAACACTTCCTGAAAACCCAACACACATTAAAAAAAACAAGTGTTCCACACTATCTTAAAGTAGATAAGTAGTATGTTATGCATACAAACAAGCAACCCTGGCCACCAAGTAGCTTTAGCAATTGTAAGGCAAGTGGTTTAAACCTGCAATAGAACTATAGATTGCAGCTGAGATCAGGAGGAAGTGTGTCTCCTGGCATACAGAAGTTTTACTTAGCATAATTCACTGCAACAGCAGTACCTGGCTATCTTGAGTCTCATTTCGGAAACATCAGTAGCCCTTAACATTGCAGAACTATACAGTGTCTTTGAATGGTTTAAGCTAACTTGTTTTTTAAATGGCATATCCAGCAGAAAAAGGGATTGGACCTGTTCAGAGTTTCTGCACAAATATGGGTAGTAGACAGACAGGAATGTCATCTAGAAAAATTTAACTCTTTTGTTTATTGTTATTATGGTAGCATAAGAAAAGACTTTACTAAGAAATTACAAAGACTTCACTAGATAAGGTGGTTCAAGTCAACCAATGTTTCAAAGTTCAACGGTATGTTAAAAACAGTTTACCAAGAGACATTCATATCTATCACAGAAGATGCATCAGGCATAGGAAAAAACCTTCTGATTCTCTTTACCATTATGAAAATAACTCATGACAAGAAAAAACTTTAAAGGACCGCTTTCTGAACAGAAACATATTACCAGTAAAAAAACAGGGTAACATTGCAATGAGAAATCACTTCATACTCCTTTCCCCCATCCTGCCTTTTTTCCAAAACAAGACAGTTTCTTTCTCTGTTTTATTCCTGGATAATTCTCCAGCTGTTGAATGCTGAGTGGCAATGGCATTTCCAGTGGGATGCTCCCTATAACTAAAAACTTACTACAAGCATAAGCATTACAAAAAGAGGAATCTGCCAAAATAACAGAAACAGAAGCTTTTGGACAGAATTCTACTTAGCCCCAAACTCCTCTAGAAGACAGTAACATGTCTTTCCTCTTTGGGCAGGCACATTGAAAAGGATTTCCTAGAGCCACAATAAAGTTAAGCAAGACTATTATTCCCAAGATAGATCAGTTTCAGTTATTCAGTTCTACTACAGATAATTTGCAAGAAGGATTTACTCTTTCATCTTTGTATCAGAAGGAGGGAAAAAAAAAAAAAAAAGAGTAGTGTGATCCACGATCACCATCCAATCACCATTATAAACTGCTAAATTTCTCTCTCAAAAAAAAAGAAAAAGCAGCTCTGCAATAATCAAAGACAGGCCTTAATGACAGAACCCACCTAAGATGTCACAAGGAGCCTTCAACAGATACCCAAACTTAAGATGGTGGATTCATCTTCTTAATTTATGAATCTTGGCATTAAAAAAATGACATTGCTAACCTGACTTTCTCTTCTTAGATTGAAGGTGTCAAAACTACACTCATCCTTTCCCTTTTCCCTTGCTAATGGTAGATTTAGCTCTCTTTTACAGTTTTAAAGGACGGTTGTTATCAATGAACTCAAATGTTGGATTCTCTAATTCTCAGGATTATATGGATATTTTATATTGGGAAAAAAGAGGTATGAGTGACTTCTCAAATCCCTTTTCGGGTTGGCAGTTATAATTTACAGAAATATTACCTCTTTCCATTCTTGCTCTTTCTTTTCCAGAATTGTGTAAACCGTGGTGCTGTAGGCCTTTTGTAAGCAAGCCTTCAGTTTGTCTTTGCATTGATGGTTTAATTGAGTATGAGTGTCAAAACACTCATCCTTCCAAGAAGACTTGCTGTGTGTGCTCTTGACTAGTTCTTTATGGATTTCACTCAACAAGTACTCAAGCTCAACCAGAGTCTTTTCCTCATACCGATTAATTTCATCTTGCAGTCTCTTTGTTTCCTGAGCCTCCCATTCTCGCTGCTTTTGGTCTAGTAACATCTTTATTTCTGCCTCTTTCTGAGCGGAGAGATCGTTCTTCTGCTTTGCAAGATCTTCCTTTGCTGTTGCAAGTACCTCTTTAATTTTGTTTCTATGATCATCTAAGAACGATCGATAGTCTCTCTCATTTTGCTCTTGTATCTGCAGGATTTCTTCTTGCTTTTCTTTGTTCCACTGAGCACGAGCTTTTGCTAGTTCTGCTTTGATAGCTGCAGGAACTTCTTCTTTCTTTAGCTCCAATTCCTTCTTGAGAGAAATTACCTTTTCTTCCAGCTCTTTCATTCCTGGTCCAGGTTTCTCTGTATTCTCATATTCTTTTTTCCATTTCTCTTTGGCAGCTGAGAGAACTAGGGCTAACTAGTGAATATATAACAGAGTTATAAATACATACATCCATTTATACATACATAAAATATAATCCTAAGTTATTATCAATCTATTGGAGATGACTTTCAAATTATTTAATAAAAATATAATCCTATATAGAAAAAAAATGGATCAGAATCAGAGTACACTAGAAACATCTTTCCTTAATGATTCCCCGCCTATGTCTGCATTGATTCCTCAGTAATATATAGAATTTGGAAGAATGAACTGTTTATCAATACTCATATACAAGTATTTTGGGCTACCTGCTTTGCTGCAGTCTCTTTGTGTTCTTTTTCCCATTTTTCTTGTTCTATCTTAAGATTTACTTTGTACTCTTTGAGGTCGGTTAATTCTTGCAGCCATCTGGCACGAGCTTGGGTTAACGCTGCCTCTACCTATAAGCAGATAAAAAACCCCTACTTCAATCACCCCTACCAAATACATTTTTAGCATTACTTTCATGTAGCAGTGAAAGAACATTAAAAGAATCAGACCAGCAGCATCTGATGATGCATTTCATGATGCAAAAAAAATACTAAAAAGATGAATATTCAATTCATTTTTCTTAACAAAAATGGTATAAACTCTAAGTCAGTTTTGCTCAGTTCTGTTTAAAGCTTCCGTAAAACTTGCCAACTGTGTGAAAAGTTAACAGCTAGAAAAAATAAGCTACATGCTACAGCTTCTTCAGAACTTTTTTTTAAAAAAAAGTATTTCTAATATAGCAAATAGTAACTACTGAGTGGAAAGTTAGTGGAAGAGAACACTTATTTTTTTAGGTGACTTAGTTGCACATGGCAGTTTCACAGGCTCCAGGTAAAGAGAACAATTATTTGTTACCTGGCTGGCAAGATTTTTACAGTATTTATTTTCCAGTTCTATTTTAAATTCTTTTACGGCCTTTTCAGAGGCCATATTTTCTTTCAGAGCTTTCTGGATCTGCAGCCTCTGGTCTTCAACAATCCTTTCTAACTCTTTAGTTGAAGCTTCGTCCACAACTGTCACTCGGTCAGTTTGGCTGCTGCAGTCATTACATTCCACTACAGTTCTTCTCATTTCTTCCAGTCTGCTTTGCCATTCTCTTTCTAATTTTGCAAAGACCTGTTCTTTATTCTAAGGAAAAAAATACTTTTTTAAGACAATCTTCCCAGTATCCAAATGACTAGAATTTCACTGGTATCTAACAAACAAAACTCTGTTTACATCAATAATCATCCCTAACAGGAGAAGAGCAAAACAATGCTCAGAGAGCAGAGAGTTCAGTAAAGAAAGTTGTTTTTCCTTCCTCATCGCAGCTTCCTTTTACAGGATAGCGATACACAAAGGACTTTTAAATGATAACCAAATGAAACAATAGAAAGTATAACCACTCACTCAGGGATCAGGGTGGAAGACTCCAGCCTATTACCAGATGGAGATATTCTGCACGTTAGTTTACAAGGTCTAGGTTTTTTTTCCCTAAATCTTAAGCATGCGTAATACTTACTGACTTCTTCAGAGGCTCCCAAAATGACAGATCCTTAAAAGCCACTTCAAATGGTAGAATAACAGCACATAAGTCTACCTACATACAAGTTCTCCTGAAAATAAACAAACCATCAAAACCAAATTTGAAAACCCCTGGTCTAAGTTCCACACCTCTTTTTCTTCCTTCTCCCAGTGAACTTTGGCTAATGCAACTTCCTCTTCAACCTGCTGTTCTTTTTCTTCCAGCCACTGCCTCTTTGCTGCTATCATAGAACTGCTGTGTTTCTCTTCAAGTTCACTCCTCAGAAGTTTAAGAGCATCGTCTTTTTCTTCTAGTAGCTGTTTCTTGAGCTAGGCAAAAAAAAAAAAAACAAATTTAAAAAAAATTAAAGTATTCTCCAAAGCATAGCAAACTGCTCTGGCACAAAGCAGAGATGTGATTAACTCTCTAGAGTCTGTGCACTGATCTTACTGGTGACACCTGGAAAAGAGATTCAGCTCTCAAAAGGAGGTGTTTTAAGGCATGATATCAGAGGTTATTATAGGCTATTGCCCTACAATGAGTTTTCTTATCAAGCATCTTTATTCCCAGCATACTTTGAGCTGCACCTCTTTACTGTACTTGCTTAGCAAGACAGTTGACCTACTTTGCTTTTCTGAAGATATCAGTGTGAAATGACTAAAGTCCTTAATCAATACAGCAAACTGAATTCATTATTTCTTAAAAAACCCACAGTATTTTCATACCAGTTTTATACAGGGAGAAGAAAACCTGTATTGTCATTCGGGTTTTTGGAAAAGGTCTCATTAATATGAAACCTCACACTTCTGACTGAACAGTCCTCAAGAGTCAAAATTATGAAAGTTGACTATGTAAGAGTGAATAGCTATTCAAAAAGGTTACTTCTACAATATTTTAAACCCCAGGACACAAGAGTAGGTTAATTTAACAACCTATAGGTCACATGTATTAGTTTTCTGATATAGCTGCATGTCTTACAAGTATCTTCCTCAAACAATTAAAAAGTTCAATACACTTACGGATATTACATCTTAAAAAGTCTGCAATTATATGGCTTCTAGGTATTTCCATTAGTACCTTCTCTTCCTTCAGCTGCTGCTCTTGCTCAAATTTCTGCCTTAAAGTAGCTTCCACAGTGTCCTTCTCCCCACAGACTCCAATGTAGCATTCCTTCACTGCAATCATCTCTCTGCTCAGCTCATCTATGTTAGCCCTTCACAGGACAGATTATTTATTATCAATTAGTCTTTACATTCACAAGACAGCAAGCCTGTTTTAAAAAAAAGTGTAGCTAGCACTGAGGGTCAGACAGGAAATGTGAAAGTTTCACTAAAAGCGGAAAAAATGGTAAGTCTTACTTTAACTGCGAGATTGTCTCTTCGTAAGTTTGAATAAGACGCTGTTTTTCTGCAGCATACCTCTCCATCAGGTCTTTCTCAAAACGTGCTTTTGTATCCTCATGATGTCGCTGATAAGTTCTTTCACATCTATGATTTCAAGGAAGGAAAAAAACTACCTAGTTTTTTTTCCCTTTTTAAATGGAGTTCAGCTTTTCCTTAAGTAAGAAATTAGCTTTCTAATGCTGACCTCTCCTTTTACCAGATAGCTGATACGAGATTATACATGCAGGCTAAAAGTTCACAAATGTAAATAAATGGAGGTGTCAGACTTACCTGTCAATGGCTTCTTGTTTATCGTGATCAAAATCCTGAACCATCTTTCTCATTTGACAACAGAGATCTTGATTTAAGCTTTTCAGTTTTTCCTCATTTTCCTTCAGTTCTTCGATAGTCAAAGTATGGTTCTGGACAAACAAGGGTCAAGTAATAGGTGAGTTGTAAAGAACCTTTTCTAATCGCAGGTTTTAGCACATGTGGGTTTTTTTTTTGTAGGGATAAGGAGCATCTCTGTCTCACCTCAACTTCTTGCAGCAAAGTTTCATTAGCCTTTTTGAGCCTCAGAACTTCTTCCTTAAGATTATCAGAAACCAAAGGACTGGCCACAAAAGTATCATTCGGATTTGTGACAGGCTAAAAATAAATAAAATTAAGATTATCTCTTTCAAGATATACATGATTTAGAAGTTCACGCTTTAAAAAAAGTTTAAGCTGTCATATAAAAATTTTACTTAGGAAAAATAAAAAACCCCACAAATTAAATTATTGCAGTGCAAGACGTAACAGTATCATTGTTATTCTCGATGAATTCTTGAAACTCATAGCATCATGAAGGTTTAAAGAAGCACACACTCAATGTTGTGTTGGCAGGCTGAATGATTACTATCATCCAACAGAGAGCGCGTTTCTCAAGCGTATTATATTCCTATCCCACATTCCGGTCACAATGCATAGATTACAAGAGCACATGTTACAAATCCGATCAATTTATAGAGGGAAGTTAATAATGGGGTGAAGAGAAATGCAATATGAAAGCGATTCCTTGTTGATCAAATTACATAGTGAAGGCCTTCTGAAGGCAATCTGTTTAATGTTTCATTTGTATAACTCTGCTTTCTCAGAGAAATTACAAGGTCTTTTTTGGCTAAAGAAAACCTACTTTCTCTAATGAAATTTAGTTCTGAAAAGAGCAGAGTGGCGATTAAGTGCTATCAAGCAAGCCGTCATATCCGAACTCACCTAAGAAGTCATAGGCTGCCCAAGTTCTGCTATTCAGTTTGTTTCTTTTTCAAAGATACAAAACAAAGTATCATTCAAATGACAACAATTTCCTTAAGAACAAGGACAGATCTACTTGGTTACTATGAATACTCAGCTGCGCATAAATTCTTTGGTCCATTTTCATTAGAAGTTTAAATGTTGGATTGGTTCACTAGTATCCAGTGCATCTTTCCTTATAAAGAAGCATAAAAGAACAAACCTCTGACTCTTTTGATGCTTTTTCTGCTTTCAGCAACTGCTTGTATTCCTCTAATGTCTTCTGGCAATCTTTAAGATCATTTTGTAATTGAGTAATTTGGTTTCTCTTCATTTTATTACTGCTCAATAAACGTTCCAGCTCAGCTTTTAATTCTACAATAATTTCATCTTTAGACAGCTCTTTATCCATGTCTCTGTTCTGTATTGCACTATTAGGGAAGACATAACCAGTTCAGTACTTAAAAGACAAAAACATTTACCTGGAAGGTAGTGGTGGCAAAGACAAAAGCAACTAATACTATCAGAAAGAGGTCTGTCTAAGAGGCAACAGTAAAAAGAATGAGAGAACATGAATACAAAAGCCATATGCTTTTTCATTAAGTTGTGATTAATATACAGAAAACTTGTTAATTCAGCTGTTTCCCAAAAAGATTCATTCTCACATGATAAGAAGTATTTTGAGACAACTCAAATGGTTGTTTCAAAGGACAGCTTTAACATTATGTAACTATGTGGAACCTTTGAGCAAGAAGGTATCCATGCATATAACCCATACAATCCAAGGAACAGCAACATACTCCCTATAAAATCTGAAGATTTACTAAGCAGCAGTTAGGCAACCAATTTATGGTATTAGTCCACTTTCCTGTTTCCCAGATTACCTGGCAATACAAGCGGTACTTCAAATATCTATCAAACACACCTATAAGTTGATTCAGTAAGACCATCTTTTACACATCACTTGTATAATTTCTTGAGAATTTTAGATTGTTCTTTCAGTAAGAATCACTCAATACCTGCAGAATCTTGGTTTCTTTTCAGTGATTTTTTTAATTCCCAAATTTACATAGGAATCACTCAGGTTTGTATGCAGCTCTCCACCCGCATCATTCAAAAATACTCCAAGCCTGGCAGCAGATTCATACAAAGCTATTTCTTCCTTCAGTTCCATTAATTCTTCCTTAAAGGAAGAGACAGGAAAAAATTACACTGAGCAGAGAAATTCCAAACACATCAGGTCCATGATAACTCTTCTAAAGAAAAACGAATATGCAAAGCTATTCTTTCTAAATGTAGTTGTACTTAGCTGCATTTACTTGAATCATCTGGCACTAGTTTTATTTATTTATACTATCATTTTTGATACGTCTAGCAAAGCATATGTTAAAACTACGTTAGTTACAGAATAGCTCCTGTTGCTGGGTAATTACTTAACTTCATAGATGAACTGTAATAAGAATAATTTCTTTTGCTCTTACTTCTCTCCTGCTGCCCTTGTATAGTAAAACAGATGACAACACAAAAGTACCGAGCTGAAAAAACAGCCTATTACTCTAGTACTTATCAGGATTCATAATTTCCAAGACGGTAGATTTAAGTCAAATATATGAACTGAATTGGAAACACAAACTTCCACTCATGTTTTACAGAGGATTCTCCAGCATTCTCTTTTTCTGGCAAAAAGTAAACAGAACACAGTATCTCCAACTATCCCGATAGCTTAATTAAGTTATGAAATTCCCAGCACAAAGAATTTACATTCTTCTTTTTCCATAAGCAGGTTAGATAGATACATGATATCAGATTTGTGCCGACACATGTGCCCTGCTATGTTGTATTAAAAAAAGAAAGAAATAGTCCAGCATGCAACACAGGGAGACAAAGTACTGGGTAGTCCTTTACTGAAAGGAGACATGCTTGTTTCCCCAATAAATAAAGAGTTTCAACTACCAAACTCTTAGCTATAATGCCCAACCACCCTAAAATCAAATCAGTAAAATATTTAATAAAATTAATTAACCTGCAAAGCCTTGTTCAGGTTATTGCCTATCAGATGTGCAGACTGAGCTTGTTGCAACTGAAACCGTAACTGATTTGTCTCCTGCATCGAGCCTATTGCATGAAAGAAAAGGGAGAGAAAGAATAAGTCATAAACATGCAAGAACGACTATGCAATCTGAAAAAAGATTGCCGTTAAAAATAGCAATGTTAATTCTCATGATAGGCATTACTCTGTTTCAACTTCCTCAATCTCACTAATACAGTATACAAATAACAAAGGCAGGAATATTTCTGCCTGAATTGAGGTGGAGGTTACTACAGGTCTCCAATTTAAACTGCTGTTTGTTGTAAAGTTTGAGAACTACAGTGGCTTCATTCCCTCCCCCCGAATTTTTAATAATAGCTTTAAAATAAGCACCATAAGGAGCAAGATGTGCCAAATGTTTGCTTTCTTTGTAGCTCACCAGAAGCAAAAAAAAATGACATAGTGTGATTGTGCCAGAAGTTTAGCAGTAACAGAATCACCTTGCAACACAGGCCACTTTCCCCTTGTTCCCTAGGTGAAAAGTTTAGCTTTATCAGTTTGCCAGTTTATTACTGCTTTAAGGCATCTGATGAATATAGCACAGAGAAATCATGGCATTTCTTCAAGTAGCAGTTGCACTCTAAGTATCCTGCCACATCTGTAATTACTTATTTACTACATAATGTAGATCAAATAAGGCTTTTCTCTTTCTTTCCCTATCCTGGCATTTAGGCACTCTCTAGAGAGATTTTTCTTCCAGGCTTCCAGTCCTCAAACAAAACGCTCTTAAATTAGGATCCAGGAAGACAGATATTTTGTTAAGATATTTGGATTCTGTGAAAAAACATACATTACGATGAAAATATTTCAATGCATAGAGGTAGCCACAAGTCAAACACACAAAGAACAGAATATTTCACATGCTATTCCTACTCATACGAGTTTCCAGGAACAAGCCTCCAGCCACAAAACCAATTCTTTGCCCGTTGAGATTAGAATTTAGAACAGCAATTCAAGACAAATGCCTAACACAAAAATAAGTAGCTTGCTCCCAAAGGCTGTTATTTAGTTCAAAACAAAGTTTATATGTATTTTGTGCTGTCCATGTGTAAGGATAATTTAATGCTTTTTGGGGTTTCGGTGGGGTTTTCTAGGTTTGGTTGTGGGTTGCTTTGGGTTTTTTTTGAGGGGGAGTGTTTATTTTATTTTTACTGGGTTTTTTTACACTTCAATCTAGACTTAACTAAACTTCATTTAAGTCTGACTAATGCACTGCATAGGAAATGGTTTAGTACACATTTAGCTCAATGTTGATTCCATTTCAATAGGAACATAGATGTGCAATTTAATACTTAAAATAACTTGAACTATTTCTGCAAGGAAAGATAAGGAAAGAGTAAAAGGCTGACCTGTTTGCAGTAAATTTGCACATTGCTTTTGGCTTTCTTCTAGGCTTCTTGTCAGTCGATTTATTATTTCTGTTTTTTCACATTTGGTTTCTTCCAGCATTTTTTCAAGTTGCTTAACATGCTCTCCTAGATTTGTGCAAAGCTCTTTCTAGGAAAGATTATTTTTACCCATGTTACAAACATCTAGCCATCTAGGACAGTTTCAGATATAGAAAGAGTCAATACACAAAAAACACAGGAGAAAAAAAAAAAAAACAACAAACAATCAGGTACCTAAAGGGGAAGGGATCACATGCTATACTTGGCTGACAAGTCATCTCTTACAGCATCAAAAAAAAGTTTTCACTAGGAGACAATAACTATACTCATACACAAACATACATGATGTGAACCATTTTGTATTTCCTAGAGCAGCTAGTTTTCAGCACGTCAGATTATCCCCTGTAATTAGCCACATATCGTTAGTCTACTGCAGAAAAGCCTTCACATTATTTATATTAAGCCCAAGCTTAACTCAATTTAGGTTTTTTTAACTGAGCTTAAGCCAAGCTAGCAAGTTCCAACACTCTGTAAAAGAGGAACTGTAGTTTTTCACATGATATACAAAGTAGACCTTCATATGGCATTGCTTACACCCACACAGACCAGGAAGGCACAGTACCTAGTCTTTACGCCTTTTGACTTTTCTATTTTCTCTCAAAAACAGGAGATCTCTCTCTAAATACTCCAAACATACTACCATTAAATCTCTTTTTTGCAGTAGAGACAAAGTTGTATAAGCTTTGCGGTGGTGTTAGCAGTCAGAAATTTAGCAGTGCATTCCTGTTTACAAGCAAGTGCTAGTTACTTTTCAAACATACAACTCTTTTTTTTAATGCATATTTATGTTGAGACAAGAATTACAGAATTAAATGTCTTTAATTCTAGGTCTATTTCCTTTATGTGAAAGAAGAGAACAATTTATGAAGGCCTGCCTAGACTATATTGCTTGAATATTTCCAATAGTGTAATGGATTCTTATTATATATCAGGTAGAATAATTTTAATAAGCTCTATAACCATGTGACATAATCCATATCAAACTCCAACTTAGAGCCTGCCTTTCTTCCCCTCTCCTTTTAAATCCACACTTCTGAAATAAAGTGACTAACTCCTAGTTAGGAGTCCTTGATCATTTTGAGACTAAAGCTTAGTGATAGACTTTAATAAACAGTTTTTCTCGCAGCAAAAATATCACAATTTCTTAATTAGTTCTTTTCTTTCCCAGATTTATTTGCCACTACTCTTTCAAAAAGAGATTGTGCACAGAATGAAAGCTCAGGCTAAGACAATGAATTCTTGCCTCCTCTGCATCTGCTGTGTACAAACACACTATTTGAGCTCACAACCGCCTGGAGATGTTTATAAAAACATACCACATAGGCTTCACAATATTGATACTTCTGTAGGATTTCCTTTCCATTTGCTTAGCAACTTCCAGAAGGAGTTATTAGAATTACAGGTCAAGAAGTGCAGTTTAGGAAACACGTGGAGCTCTACAGCCTCTCCAGTACAGTACTCAGCATCCTAAAATAATTTCTCACCTGCTCTCGGAGTGCAGACTTCGTAGTATCAAGTTTCTGCTCTAATGATAATACTTGCTTTTCATACTTCTGCTTGAGTGCTGAAATAATAGCCTCATGTTGTTCTCTGGCTCGCTGAAGGGCATCTGATCGCTGAAGTTCTAACAGCTGCTTCTGCATGCTTTCCATGGCTACCTCTGCCACTTTGGATTGCTTCAACATCTATAGGAACAGTATTAAGGTAGCCCCCAGTTAAATATATTTTACTTTTGCTCCAGTATTCTCTATGTCAGTTCAAATTTTTGTGCAAGAGTTGCTAGCAGTTCTCAGATAATTCCTGGATTTTAACAGAAACTGTATTCTATCAATGCATCCTATTCATTCATCATATGTTCAGCTTCTGCAACGATCATGAACAGCGTTTCAAGAGACTGGCATTTATGTTTAACGCCAACGCCCACAAATACAACTGTAGAGATCTTCCACAATAAACAGTTTAAAAACATTTATAGTACCTGCTCCTCATTGGTTTTAAGAGTTTGAATTTGAGTTTCAAGGGCCTTTATTTGACCTTCAAGATGCACTTCCCGTTCCTTTCCATTCTGATAGAGTTTTTGAGACTCACAAAGTCTAACTGCCAAACCATCCTTTTCATCTTGAGAGAGAGACATAAGAATTATGTGAGAAAAACGGTCAGTCACTCAACAACTTCACAGAACATGACTATTCAGTATCCTTGTTCTACAGAACCATTTACTATGAGCCCTCCACCTCATACTGTGGGCAACATACAGAAGACAGAACAAAAATTCTGTCAGTCTCCATCCAGTAACCACTTTCTCTCTGATAGCTGGAAGCATTCCAATATACTATATTCTCAGAACCCTAGTGGAAACAAGCCCCATTCTGTCAGCGCTAGGAACTAGCATCATCCTTACACCATTTAAAAGGGAAAACAAAATAATTTCCCTGGAGGAACAGCCAAGACACAGCAAAATGGTTGACAGCTGAAGTTTGCTCTCTCCTTTGCTCCTTTTGCATTCTAAAAATTATATTCTATATTCTCTAAGATCACAACTCTTTTTTGCCTGTTTCTATAAGAAAAGAGAGACCAAGACAACTACCAGTCTCCACTACAGCTTTGATCATTTTGGAAGAGCTTCTCTCTACGTACAGTCCAGGAAACAGCTTGTTAAACCAGACAGCACAAGGGTTTTCTTTTAATAGATGTACACTTCTCTCATTTTTTTCTGGTTTTGTTTTGTTGTTTTTTTTTCCCCACACTTTTAACACACTACTTTGGCAAACTTTTCACTTCTCTGTACATTTTTAATGCTTGTCACATGGGGACTCTGCAATAAAATGGTAGTCTTGAGAATGCAGTGGAAGTTAAGACAGTTATGCCATCAGGCACCAATCCAGATAATTTTCTTTAAAACAATGTTGGTGGAGAGGGTTAGGTCCTCATAATCTCAAATTAAGTTTATAAATATGATCAATACCTGCAGAGACACTACTTAAAGTTTCAGAATAAAAAACTTGCTAGATATGAATAAAAATCTAAGAATTATAGATCCATACAAAAACATTTTACCTTTCAACATTGAAAGCTGATGATTCAAATACCTAATCTGCTGTGCACTCTTTTCTAGCTTTTCATTAAGTTCTTCCAGTTGTCTTTCTCTTGCTTTATTTAGAACTTGAAGAATCTGCATATTTTCTGAAGAATCTGACAAGTTTCAAACAGCATACAGACAAGTCAGCACAGTCATCTAACCAAGAAAGTCATGGTCCTAAGTAATTCCTGCCCAAACACACTACTTGGATACAGTTGCCAGTGATTCCCAAAATTGCATCCTTTTTTAATCAATGTTTGATTCACATCACCTGAGTTGCTCTGGTAGCAATGGCTAAGGAATTGTAGGAACTACCAATGCAATTCAAACCTAACGCAAAGATCGGATCAAGGTTTACATGCTGTCAATTCACACACTGTCTTGTGGCAGCTATAAATTTTCAAGATGCCTAAAAAGCAAAGCAGTTCTGTCATTTGAAACGTACCTAACAGAAAAGTCCCATGAGGCATAAAAGCAAGGCACATTTCCTAAGGTACAGCAAGTTGTTATTCTCCATTATCAATAAGACAGGGTCAGTAAGACTTGAGATCAAACCATTAGAAATAACTTCTTTCACGATCTCACCAGTCAAAACCACATTTTTAACAGCCTAAAACTCAAATATCCTGAACAAAAAAGTTGATTTCTAGATAAAGTGAGGGGGAAGGGGAACACAACCAAACCAAAATAAGGGCTATCCCTACATAAGCTTAGAGCAATACAAAAGATCACATGCATCAACATACTTTAAATTATCCCCTTCTAAATATCTACTAAAATCAACAGGTTTTCTGTCGCTGATTTCTAGTGGAAAACTTTTCACACAAGCTTATTTCAAATCTAAACAGCAAACACTTACTTTCATCATTGCCCAAGAATTCATGCTGCAAATCTTCGAATACTTCATTTCTTCTAGTTCCTTCTTGAATTACTGGAATTTTTTGATGAATGCCATTTTGGTATGGTTTATAAGTCACTTTGTAAGATTCTGGCGATTGGCCACTGGCAACGTCAGATGCAACAAATTGCTGTTGTGACAATATATACATAAGAGAAAATAAATCAGAACTGTAGCCTTGCTCAATTAAAATATTTTTCATTTTACAGGTTGACATTAAGAAGAGCTCTAGTAGCTCTTCATTTTCAGGCTCCAATCCAGCACACCATTTAAATGTGATAAAAATTTTCATGAAAGCTTCCACTTTAGGAAAGCAGTGAAGTGTCAACTTCAATAGAGTAAGTACACACTTAAGCGAATCACATTCATTTTACATCATGGAATACTACCCAGCCAAGAAGAAAAGGGGGGAAAAGAAAAAAAAAAGAAAATCATAACATGCACATATAAAAATCCAGTTATTTAATGATTCCTTGTTTTAACATGCAAAACAGACTACAGAAGCCTCCCATTGTTTAAACTGATAATAAGAGACTAAAAGCGTTTAGAAATATTACTACCAGTAGTTAAAGGCCTGTGAAAATTTTCCAAATGAGACAGAAAAATGCATTAGCTTCTGAAATACCTTAAGATGTTCCTTTGGAGCATCTGGAAAATTTATTATTTTATTTTGCTGACTGTTAAATTCTGGTTTATGGCCATTTGTGTATGGCCTGAAGTTTTCAGGAAGATGATACACATTGTTCTGTTGGTAGCGACTTGGAGCATTAAACCCATCTCTACCAAGATACACATCATCAGGATCCTCTTGACCATTCTGGCCACAGTAATCTTCTTTAATGTCATATAAATGTTTCTTCTCTTCATCATTATGTAGGCCATTCCAATTCTTTCCATGTTTTTCAACATGATCATTTTGCTGGTCACATAAGAATTGTTCCGGGTACAGATTTTGTCCTTGCTCATAACCCTATGGATGAATAAGAGGTTTAGAATTGCTCTTTCAAAAATTCAGATTTTTATCTCACCCCCTCTTCTTCTGGGGTTACCAGCCCTCAAGTTAGAAATAATTCAAATGAATAGCAAAACATGTCACCTACAAGAAAAGTATTTCTCTAAAGAATTTAAATAATATTTAGTATGTTATCACGAACAAGCAGTTCCTACTAATTACATCACTGGTCATATAAGCTTACATTTTCAGGATCACTAATCAACGGATGATCGTTCCACCTTCCATCATGCTTCCCAGGCTCATGTGATCTAAAGAAAGACAAGCAGCTTAACTATGTACTTATAACTTCAGAGAAAACAAAACAAACCATCTCTTTGTTAAATTAAGTGGCATCTAGATTTTCTCATGGAACACAAACCATACTGCAAACTGCACTACAGCTTCTCATTTACTTGGATTGCTTTTACACACCTCATCAGCTCAGATTTTGCTCTATTCTCAAAAGCACAACATAAATAATAAAAAATGGTTAAAATGCCTTACTGCTCCTCAGTCTCATGAATGCTACAGTCTGAATAGCTGGAGAGCTGGTCTCCGCTGTCCTCCAGCATGTCATGGGGAAGGTCTGTCAAAAGTTGTTGCAACTGAAACAGAAAAAGACATATTCATTATGCGCTTTTCAAAAGAACATATACAAGTTCAGTCCAAAGAGACAGGCAAAAGAGGCCACTTGCACAAAATCCTGTTTTAAATTCCTCTGAGGAAAAGTTCACAATACTGGAATTCACAGAGACATTTATACCACAGAATGCTTAATAGACTAGAGTACCAACCGAATTATTTTTCTGGCAAACTCTTGTTAAGAAAAGAGCTGTACTGAAAAGAGGTAGGGGAAATGCCACCAGATAGATATATCCCAGGACACACTACATTTGAAGAATGATCTGCAAACTAATCATGCCAAGGTTTCTCCTCCCTAAATACCAGGCAAGAGAGGTACTGGACATTCAAAACATGCCCTGGGGAGTCTGGAATTAAATCCAGATAAGAACTTGTCAGTCAGAGTTACTAAATGTAAGAACTTACTTGTTGTAACGATTCCCATATAGAATGCAACTCTCCTTCCCATTTTCAGAGAGGCTTTGATATGAGGCCACACATTGGGCTTCTTGTAGATCTGAGCTATGCATGCTCTTTTTCATATTAGGTGACTTGAGAACTTCACAATATATTCAGAGTCATTACATGCAGTTTCTGAATCCTAACCCTGTTTTTCTCCAAACTCTCAAAGCATGCGTTAATGAAAGGAGAAACATTAGCTGCCCCATGCTAAATACCTTATTAGCTTTTCTTTGTTAAAAAACAAGCAACAAAAAAAACCACTAAACAAAGACTATAATCTACAGAAAGTTTATCTTAAAGATATCATGTTTCCTCAGATGCTATTTTAGATGCTCTCTAAGACTAAAAGATAGGCGAGAAGTTAAGGACAACTTTTCTGAACGTCTACAGGACAACAGAGTACCAGAAGCTTGTTCCTAGAAATTCAATAGTAGCATGAAACAGTTTCCCTACCATTAGAGCATTCTCTAGATTTACTAGAACTCAGCTTCAGGAAGCAGGAAAGGAAAGGCAGCACCATTCACTCAAGATCCCCTTTCCTTTGCCCTACTTGCAAATAAGGACATGCTCAAGCACCATGGGTTTCACAGGTCGTGCACTCCTTTGGAAACTTCAAGTCAAGAGAAAGCAGTGCATACACAGTTCACAAAACATCATCATGAGAGTTCATATTTAGCCTGAGCTCAGCCTACCAGGTCAGCTAGCACAGGCCTCCAGATGGGGGTAAGGGTTCCCCAATTCTTAAGTTAATGTCAAAGTACATCTACCATGTAGATGTCTCCAATTTGCAAGAAAAAAACATTTGATTTGCTGTGGCAGAAAACGTAAACTAATGCAGAAAGTCTTGGATTACATCTTGACCAGGAAACATAGCAAAGCTTGTGTGCCTTTGAGCAGGCTCAGAGTCACACCCTACTGAAATATCTACATGTACAGTTTTGTAAACCTCACCTTGCCCCAGTTCAAGTGTGCATGACCTACAAGGATTATCACTAACTTATCACAAAGCAGCTGCTTGCTTTGTGCCCATCGCCTCTTGTCCTGTCACTAGGCACCACTAAAAAGAGCCCAGCTCCGTTGTCTTTACATCCTCCCTTCAGGTGCTTATACACATTGATGAGGTTCCCCTGAACCTTCTCCTCCCCAGGCTAAACCATCCCAGCTCTCCCAGCCTCTCCTTATAAAAAAAACTTATAACCCTATTTATGCACTCTCTCACTCACCCACTGTAATAACCATACAATTATTTCATTACTTGTTCTCCTGCACAAGCACAACATTCTTTATCTGGGTACAGAGTTTTGGAACAGACTTCAGATTCCCTACAGAGTTTGCAAGAGCATATTTCCAAGTCGTCCAGCTATTCTTCCACTACACGTTTTTGTGAACATTTGTCTTTCCGTTACCTACACTCTACACAGTGATCCCTGAAATATGTACTGAGGAGGTTACCTGACATGAACATGATTTACCACTCTGTAAGAAACCATTACGCACATTCATGTTAAACACGCATTTTGACAATTCTGTTTATGAAACAAAAAGAACAGAAAAATCTAAAGTATTTCAACTCCAAAGAAATCTCAAAACATTTGAATATATTTTTCCAGATATTAAAGTATGTAATTCATAATCAGAATTTTAAAAATGGTTCCTCGTTCTTTTCTAATCTAGTTTTTGAGTGAGAGCTGTTGCTTTCTAAGTATTTGTAATAGGTGAAAAAGGCGTCAAGAAACAAAATGTAGGTGACACCAGCCTTTTGAATTTGATCTACTGCATGGGCGAGGAGTAACAGTCCTCCAGCCACTATATATGACATTGCAAGGCTATTAAGATGCAGTATCTCATTATCTCTTTACCTTTTATGCCACTTTTGCAAAGTACAGCCTGCACTCTGTTTTGCTCTTAACAAAGACAGTATAAAACTTTTTTATTTTTAAAAAATACTTAGAGAAATGAGAAGCAGCTAGCTACACAAGCCTTCAGGTTAAATAATTTGTTCTTTTTCACCTCTTGTTCTCTTGCATAATCCTCTTGGTCATAGTCTTCATCTTCATGTTGAGTTTGTAGAGCTCCACTATCAAAGTCAAGGGACATTGTTTTCTAATAACGTTTTTGAGTATCCAGCGAAACCTACTGCAAAACAGGAAAACATCACACATGAGTAAAAGTAGGGGGGGAACATCATAAAGTACCACTCTCATTTCCTGAATTAAGTAGCCAAACACGCACAGAAATACATTTCTTGACACAAACATGACATATTATCGATATCATTCACTTGAGCTTTTATTTCTCAGTATATCCAACGCTACTAACTGCTAAGAATTTAACATTTAAAACAGATTTTCATACACAGACATTATGAAATTATTGAAGTTAACTCACAACCAGACATTATTTTCTTTAAGTTCTAACACTGTATGTTATATGTATGCTGTGATATATGTTGATTGTTACACCCACTTTTAAATCTTGCTTCATTTATTTCTAGAGAATAACTGTATTTTCTACTAAATACCAAAAGTATGCTGCTGCTTACGCATTTGGATAACAGCTCTGAAAGGAAAAACATAAAAAGTATTGTGACAATTCCAAATTTAACTGCTTAACAAAGGGTCTCAGACTCCCAAAGACTCACCTACTCCAAGCACGGAGTTCACAGTAAGCTATAGCATGTAAGTGCTGGCCCACGTCTGGTTGCAAGAGAAGCTGCTCCCCGATGCGGGGACACTCCTGACAGGCGGTTGTGAGCCAGAAATGACTGATGGAGACTTTACAGCATGGCACATTCTTTGGGCATACTGGTGCAGCACACGCTGAAGTCTTCACTCGGTATAAAGTGAGCTTTACAAGAGCGTTATTCCCAAGTTAAAAGACATAACATATCATTCACTTCCATACGTTTAAAGGACCTGCTTGCCCACTGATATTCAAGCAAACTCTCTAATACAGCGATCAGGAACCTTTACAGCACAAGCACCTGTCTCTGCACACCCCCTACAACACCAGATTCCACAGTGTGGGCGTCTGCAACGCCTCTCACAGAATGATGCTGAGGCAGCTCAGCCACCTTCCCCACAGACCCGCACCAGCTGTACCACCG